CCCCTGCTCTCTCTCTTGATCTCTCTCTCACTCTCTCTCACACACACACAAACACACACACTACCGGGTCTGGGCACTGAAACTTTCCGACATCACAAACGTAAAAGAGTTCCCCTACCGGGTCTGTATACTTCGTGACTTTGTTCCCGGTTACCGGGTCTGTACACTTCGTTCTAGATTAGATTCTACCACTTTCCCTTAGTCCCTGGCCTGAATCTGACTGACAGTGAGTGACAGCCCAACAGTTCTTCCACTTTATATATCCTGACCTGACCCAGCTTCAGTCTTCAGACTTGCAGAGACAGAGTCAAGAGTCTGAGAAGTTCAGAGGCTAAGTGAGTGGGTAGAAGTGGCTAGATCTAGATCTAGATCTAGATCTAGACAATCTAGTAGATATCTCTCTAGATTCTAGATCTAGATCTAGACCAGTCCAGTCTCCCTCCATTTCCTATGGTGGTGGGAAAGTAGCCCACCATCTCAAAATATTTAAAAAACATTTTGGAGATGAATATGTTCAGAGGGGCCTAGATGGTGTTATAACACCCTAAACATTTCAAAAATCAAAACGACTCATTAGGCCTACATGGGTTTGCCTTGGTATTTAAATCATTGACTTGAGCTTTTATTTAGAAAAAAACTTCATAAACTGCTCGAACTGATTTGTAGACTAAACTGGGCACCAGTCTACCATCAATGACTGCCTTTGACTAGATTCTAGCATTACGAACAGCGCCCATTTTTGATACCTTGAACACAACAGAGATAGATCTAGCAGATGATAATGTAGAAGAAAACTCCAAAACAATTATGCAGCCAAAACATATGAAACGATAAGCTTACCGCTCAGTTTCTTTTCTTTTTCAGCATGATCCGTGTCGACGCCATGTTGAATTTTCCTAAGGAAATAATTCTCGCAAGGCGCAAGGACAGCTTGTTGGAACTCTTTCGTAGGGAGAAAAACCGTTTAGTTAGTTCAAACGAAAGCGTTTGTCCACTCGCCGATTAGCCAAGACTATAAATTTCAGATTTTTCTGTCTCGATTACCGGATATAATGTTTTGTTTTAAATATAAGAAAAGCACATCCTCGGGATGATATCTAAATCCATACTGGGAAAGAATGCATTGACAAACAAAAACAACTGAGTGCAAATAAAATAGAAATAAACTGTGGCACTCTCCAGCCACACACTTACGAGATTCGTCTTCCCATTCATTATTTGCCAATACCTGCGAATATCTGTGGTTGATTTTTTTCACGTACTCGTTTATTTGTCAATAAGTTGACCAAACAGCCTAAATTTTGTGGCAACTGTTTGACCAATTACCAAATCTAATTGACGTGGTGGAGAGGGGGGGGGGTGTCATTTTATAATAATTGTCTGAGTTTTACGTTCCCATCAACACAATCGGGTTGTTTTGACTCATGTGTCTGGGTAAAGCCAGGCTGAGACTGAGAGGGCTGACTGAGCAGATCACAGACGGAGATACAAATGACATGTTATTATAGATCTACATGTATTTTATATATGGGCAAATTAACGTACACTGGATTTTTTAAAAACTTCCCTCTCAGGAGTCGAACTGATGTCTCCTGCGTGCGACGGCTTTATATAACAGCCTCACTGTTAGATCTACACCCCAGATGCCGGTGTGGAGAGGGCAGGGATGGAAACTTTTCAAAGAAGAAAAAAAACAGAAAAAACCCTCAATTATCTCTCCCCAAAAGTAGCCTAATGTGCTTATTTTTTATACGATGTCGTATGTCTGACTGAGGCTACTTTCACAGAGGAAGCTAACCGTCGATAATAATATTTCTTCCACAATCTACTACAACGCGAACTAATTCTGTTTTTTACCAGACACATAATTACAACAGACTTGAAGAACGTTAACAGCACCCCCAAAGTCTGAAGGTTCATTGTCCACTATACACATGTAGGCCTACATTATATAGATCTAGAACTAGGGATCGCGTACAGCAGCTATAGATCAGGAGGTGGTCTCAGAAACTTGATCCGGTTTGACGTTGTTCTATGTTGTTGTTTTGTTTTGTTTTGTTGTTGTTGTTGTTTTTTTACTTTGTTTTGTTTGGTTTGGGCTTTTTTAAAGTAAAGATCGAGAGGAAATTTCGATACCATCTATCTATCTCTTCCCCTGCACTAAATGGCCCTTGTTGTAGATGGATAAACAAAAAGGGTAAAGTAAAGAAGTAGGCCTACAGTGGAAAACTGATATAACAGGGATGGTGGGACCAGAGAAAAGGTCCTGTTATGTCAGATCCCTGTTAAATCAAAAATATAAAGGGAAATAAGCATTTGTGGACTAATCCAGCTGTATTTATTCATGAGTAGTTTCCCTTGCCGTAAGTACCCATGAACAGGAGTTTTGGCAAGGAGTTTAGAACTAAACTGTCAATTCCTTGGGTTTTGGCCATATATTGTGTAATGTGGCAGGCCTTCGCATGACGGTAATCGACACATTATGCGTGCGTTTAGATCGAAGTCTGCAACACATTACATGGCCAAAACCCCTGTCCGTGGTGCTGATTTAACAGGTATCTTGCCCCACTCGTGTATGTAATGATGTATTTGTTTTCTGTGCACCACCGCAACACAAATGTCCCAACTGGGCCAATGGAGTGGAATTATTTAACTCACTGAAAGCGCTATTTTCGAGCACTCTGAAAGGGCATTAGATCTAGTGCTACATGTAGTCTACATCTATCTCATTTTTCCTGCAGATTTTTCCTCTCTGTTTTCCTAGTCGGAAACTTTAATGATGCAGGGAAAAAACATGCGTGCCATAAACTATGCAACTTCCGGTCTCTGGTATGTGTGTGGTGGTTCGGAATGTGCCGCAAAATTGTCTCTGTTCTGTTGCTGGCCGGACAAAGAATGTCGGCTTAAAGAGATAGATCTACAACGTGTGTGTCTCAACTGTTGTAGTAAAACCTTAAAGAGATAGATCTACAACGTGTGTGTCTCAACTGTTGTAGTAAAACCTTAAAGAGATAGATCTACAACGTGTGTGTCTCAACTGTTGTAGTAAAACCTTAAAGAGTTACAACGTGTGTGTCTCAACTGTTGTAGTAAAACCTTAAAGAGATAGATCTACAACGTGTGTGTCTCAACTGTTGTAGTAAAACCTTAAAGAGATAGATCTACAACGTGTGTGTCTCAACTGTTGTAGTAAAACCTTAAAGAGATAGATCTACAACGTGTGTGTCTCAACTGTTGTAGTAAACGTGTGTGTCTCAACTGTTGTAGTAAAACCTTAAAGAGATAAATCTACAACGTGTGTGTCTCAACTGTTGTAGTAAAACCTTAAAGAGTTACAACGTGTGTGTCTCAACTGTTGTAGTAAAACCTTAAAGAGTTACAACGTGTGTGTCTCAACTGTTGT